CCTCCCCACCGTCAGCCGCATCCCTGGGGGCTCCTTCGCCACGCAGGCCCAGGCGATTTATCGGACAGCTTAGCGGGGAACGGTTAATGCCCTGAGGACTGTTAGTGCAGGTTCTGCTCGTTGACTCCCCTCCCCGGTTCTGGCGTTTTTATTTGACATGTCCTTTAAGTCGTTTAAGGAATGGGGCGTTTCTGCTGAGCGCCTCGGCTCCTTCTGCAAAAGTTGGATGGCCCGCGTTCAAAGGTCTGGATGTGTCTCTCTTTATATTCCTCCTCACCCTTTCCTGCTCTCTTCCTTTGCTCTCACCCTTTCACTTGCTGAGCTTTATAACGTGGCATTAGTGTTGTAAGTGGACCAAGCCTGGGATTAGGCTTTGTTTCTCTGTTTTAAGATAAAACAATTCCTCCCTAATGCCCAGAATAACAAATAGAAAATGGAGCAATAAATGAACATCGACTGGGTTTTATCCGACTGCTTCTTTGCCATTTTGAACAGACCACAGACTACGATGGCTCTCGTTGCGCATTTTTTAACATTCGTATGTCGGAGGCATGAGTCCATGCTTCTTACCTGCGCACATGGCTAGGTTTCCACACACTTGATGACTAGGGTTGCCTAGGTTGCTGCGCGTGCCAGCCGACCCGATTGCCTTTACCCCTCCCGGTGTGGTGATTTTTTTTAGCCCCCGTTTGTGTGTGAAATTGCATTGAATTAGATGCATATTTATATGTGACGTAAACACATGGAAAACAAATTATTATCCAGCAATTCACTTTAATACAAAATAACACTGAATAAAATAAAAGTATCTTAAACATAAACCTGTCCTGCTTAAATTCAAACTGTAAAAAGTTTCAACATCCATAACTTTGAGGGAGGAACCACTGGAAAAAGTAAGCCGCCTGTGATTGGCTACTTTTCAGAAAATCCCGCCTCTTGAGACTGGACTGTTTTCCTCCTGGCTCCAATATTAGCGTTAGCGAAGCATCTTTAGCCTAAAAAAGTTTCTCATTGACTTAAAAACTATAAGTTATCATTAAATAACTTAGTTTAACAGTCATGAATGTGTTCTGACCGCTTTTTGCTTTAAGTTGATACATGTTAAAAATGGAACTTTGTACAAGCTCAGCTAATGTTAGCTTCAATGTTGATCTCGAGGAAAGTCGGGCTTGAATGAACTCTGGTTGATAGTTAAACACATTTGTAATCATTTGCAAAGAACTGTTCAGTGTTTTTACTTTTATATCCAGCATTTTTAGCCTTGGTGAGATAATAGCCCCCATAGCTTAGCACTCGTAGCCACCGTAGCTTAGCTACCATATCTTAGCACTCATAGCTTAGCACCCATAGCTCCTACGGATTAGCACCCATAGCCCCCATATCATAGCAACCAAAGCTCCTATAGCTTAGCCCCCGTAGCTTAGCCCCCATATCTTAGCACTCATAGCTTAGCACCCATAGCCCCCGTAGCTTAGCAGTCATAGCCCCCATATCATAGCAAACAAAACTCCCATACCTTGGCCCCCGTAGCTTAGCCACCATAAATTTAGCACTCATATCTGAGCTCCCATAGCCCCCGTAGCTTAGCAGTCATAGCCCCCATATCATAGCAACCAAAACTCCCATACCTTAGCCCCCGTAGCTTAGCCACCATAAATTTAGCACTCATAGCTGAGCACCCATAGCCCCCATAGCTTAGCACTCATAGCCCCCATATCTTAACACCCATAGCTCCTGTAGATTAGCACCCATAGCCCAATATCTAAGCATCTATAGCCCCTATAGCTTAGCCCCCGTAGCTTAGCCCCCATATCTTAGCACTCATAGCTTAGCACCCATAGCCCCCGTAGCTTAGCAGTCATAGCCCCCATATCATAGCAAACAAAACTCCCATACCTTGGCCCCCGTAGCTTAGCCACCATAAATTTAGCACTCATATCTGAGCTCCCATAGCCCCCATAGCTTAGCACTCATAGCCCCCATATCTTAACACCCATAGCTCCTGTAGATTAGCACCCATAGCCCAATATCTAAGCATCTATAGCCCCTATAGCTTAGCCCCCATATCTTTGCACCTGTAACTCCTATAGATAAACACCCTTAGTCCTCATATCTTAGCACCCATCACTCCTATATCTTAGCATCAAAAGCTCCTACAGGTTAGCAACCATGGCCCCCATAGAAAGCTTAGCACCCATAGCTCCCATTGCTTAGCACCTCCTATAGCTTAGCCTCAGAGCTCCCATATTTTAGCACCCATAGCTCCTATAGCTTAGCCTCAGAGCTCCCATATTTTAGCACCCATAGCTCCTATAGCTTAGCCTCAGAGCTCCCATATTTTAGCACCCATAGCTCCTATAGCTTAGCCTCAGAGCTCCCATATTTTAGCACCCATAGCTCCTATAGCTTAGCACCCATATCTCCCATAGATTAGCACCGATAGCCCCATAGCTTATCACCCCAACCCAATGCTAGAACCGCTGATAGTGTCCAGGATGGATCTGGGTTTCACGGTTTACTCCAGATTCTGAACATTGCAGCTGAAACGGACTCATCAGCTCAGTCCTCCAACATATAACCATCCAGTTCTGTAGATATCCAGCCTTGGGTTGCCGCTCCCATCTGATGCACGCTGCATCTGGTGTAGTCGATGTTCTGCATGGCTTGGTACGAACCGGACAGCCGTCTGAGATAATGGGGCCTCCCAATCGTCTTGGACCAGTCTGCCCATTCTGTTCTAACTGTCCACACCAGTAAGATCCCAGTGGATCAGCAGGTTCTGAGCTACTGAGACCAAAAACCATCTTAGGCTCAGTATGATCTTTATCAGGTTGTCGTCTCTAATTGCAGCCATGTGATTGGCTAGCACAAAGAGCCGTGATATTGTCCTCCTTCTGTACCCGGGTCATAGAAGCAGGAATGAAATGTGAGTTGGTGAGGCTCTGAGGATCCTCTGCTATCAGAAAACCACATTTAGCTCCTCGGTGAAATGTCAGTTTGCTGATGTGTCAGGTCGCCGTGTATAAAAATTGCCGGCTGTAAAGCGGGGAATTGAAAGCTGCCTCTCCCGGCAGCGAGGGTCTGCGGCGGCCCCCCAGAGAGCTTTATTAGTGCGGCTCCTGCTGGCTCTGTGTCCCTGTAATGGTGTGAAGGATGCTTCACAGGCAGAAAATTTAGAATTTGTGGTCCTCATCTGACAGATTTGGCTGTTTCTAAGTTAGCTGCAGCGTTCTGATGGATTCAGACTGTTTTCCTTCTACAGATATTTTTCTCTCCAACCTTGTGGGAGTTGGGATATTTCTCCCTGACATCACAGCCGTCTCACGTCTAATTTATTGCAATTATTTAAAATCACTGTAGGGGAGCAGCTGGTAATTGATGTGTTTTTTCTGTGACCTGGGCTGTTTGAATACGTCTGCTGGAATGACACGCTGAGTGAAAGGAGCCATTAGCCGGTCGGACCTGAGTGAAACTGAAACAGCTCCACTCTCTGTCAGCGGGTTTCACATTTAGTCCAAGAACGATAAAGGAGGACTTTAAAGAAGTGCAAACATGAAGGTCAGATGTGCTTTCTGACCACAGGAAGTCCATAAAAGGTCCCAGGAAGTGGAACCACCAGGAGCTGCTTCCAGAACCTTTCCATGTCTAGTTCTTCTTCCCATTTTATCCAGGTGGTTTTCCATTTGACTGAATTCTGAATTAAGGTGGAGATAAAATGTTCACTTAGTTGTTTTACGTGCTGAATGTTTAATGCTTATATTTGGTTTGTAGCACTGATTTAGTCAGAAACTTTGAGCTCTAATCAAACCAAAAATGGCCTCCTGTGGTGGAAACTAATCTGATCTGTGCTCAATCTGAGGAAGACTTTAGATGAAGGTTGGAGACAGTCTGTTATCCTAGACCAGAGGTCATGGATTACGGTGGTCCAGATCTGGACCCAACCTGATTTAAAACGTTTGTAAATTACCGCTTGTTGTCTGAAAAAATTCAAACTGTCAGTTCTGGTGTTTTATAAAATATGTAAATCAGAAAATTTTCTATATACCAGACTGAAAGATTGTTGTTCTCTACTTCAAAAAACTATTTAGATTTTAAAATGGAAAACATTTTTTTGTTGTTTTTTTCTTGTTTTGTATTTAAGACTTCTACGGAGCCCCTAAAGGGACGTGGAGTGGGAAAATAAACTTTTGCGAGATCCCGCAAAACTCTTGCGAGATCTCGCAAAACTATTGCGGGATCTCGTAAAAGTATTGCGGGATCTCACAAAAGTATTGCGAGATCTCGCAAAAAATGAACTTTTGCGACATCCCGCAATCTTGTAAAAGTATTGCGAGATCCTGCAAAAGTATTGTGGGATCTCGCTAAAGTATTGCGGGATCTCGCAAAAGTATTGCGAGATCCTGCAAAAGTATTGTGAGATCCTGCAAAAGTATTGTGGGATCTCGCAAAAGTATTGCGGGATCTCACAAAAGTATTGCGAGATCTCGCAAAAGTATTGTGGGATCTCGCAAAAGTATTGCGGGATCTCACAAAAGTATTGCGAGATCTCGCAAAAAATGAACTTTTGCGACATCCCGCAATCTCGTAAAAGTATTGCGAGATCCTGCAAAAGTATTGTGGGATCTCGCAAAAGTATTGCGGGATCTCGCAAAACTAATGTGGGATCTCGTAAAAGTATTGCGAGATCCTGCAAAAGTATTGTGGGATCTCGCAAAAGTATTGCGGGATCTCGCAAAAGTATTGCGAGATCTTGCAAAAGTTCTTTATTTTCACTCCATGTCCCTTTAGGGGCTCCGTAGACTTCAAGGTATAACATGGATGCATAAAAACCTCATTTTATTTCAGTGTTTAAAGTAACGGATTATAATTGAAACTGTCTCCAGACCTTAACTGGTTGATGATTTTCCTTATTCTGACCCCGCTGATTTTTAATGGGTTACCCCTGGTCTAGATGAAGCTTCTGGTATCAGACTAAGCCATCTCTCTTGTCTGTCCCGCAGTAACGGCACGGCCGGGAAGATGAACGGGGCGCTGGAGCATTCGGATCAGCCGGACCCGGACGCCATCAAGATGTTTGTGGGTCAGATCCCGCGCTCCTGGTCGGAGAAGGAGCTGAAGGAGCTGTTTGAGCCATACGGAGCCGTCTACCAGATCAACATCCTCCGAGACCGCAGCCAGAACCCTCCACAGAGCAAAGGTACCACTCGTCTCTATGTGATGTGATCCGTCTGCTCCGTCACGTCTGGTGTTTGTGTCCATGTTCACCTCTTCATATCTTCATCTTTCCCTGCACTGTTTGGGTTTTACTCCTCCTGCGGTTGCTCCGGACTGAAAACAGTTTTCAGAACGGGGACACAGGTGCAGACAGACACAGAAAAGATCTTCCAGGAGCTGCTGCTCATTCCAGGATGGTTAATGTCTGAACAGATCTCAGAACCACACCGGCCGGCTCATATTGTTTGGACCATTCGAAGACAAAGACGCGCCCTGCCAGACTTGCAGAGTCAATTGTGCGAAAACTGTGTGATTTGCTGCCATTTTCCCTCCCGTTCCTTCTTTTTTTCCCTCCCTTTGATGAGTTTGTCAAGTGTGTGAGCAAACAATAGAGACGCAGCGACAAATGGGCAGACAATGGCGGCGCCGTATTAACACGCATCAAGCAGAGTGGGCGCTGATGACACTTGTAATGAGACACGCCGAGAGGGAGACTGACAGGAGAGACGTGACGCCTCCATCAGACCCAGAACCTCATCTGAAGTTTCAAAGTGTCTCCAGAGAAGCTGCTGGACCCTTTTCATCAGCTGCAGCTTCTTGGTTTTATACCTCAGAAAGATTTTAGATTTATAAAACAAGATTTAACGGAAGGACTAGTTTAAATATTACAAACTTTTTATTTCTCCTAACTTTTGATTTTTTTTTTCAATTAAATTTAATTCAGTTTATTTCTATAACACCAATTCACAACACATGTCATCTCAAGACACTTTACAGTTCAACCAGATCATCAGTCAAATTGATTCAAAGTTTTCTAAGGAAAACCAGTTGATTTCATCGACTCATTGACTCGAATGCAATCCCTCAGACTAAGCATGCTTGTAGCGACAGTGGAGAGGAAACACTCCCTTTTAACAGCAGAGGTTTTTTGAAGCTGTAATGGATCTGCAAGCTTTATAAACATTAAAAATAGCTTTTTCTTCGTGCCAATGTCCTGCATGCTTAAAACGCCTGCAGAAATGAAAGGAGTTAGAAAGTCTGTAACTGTCACCATGTTTGCGGATGATGTGATGTTCTGCAAACGACAGAAAGAACATGAACGCATCTTTACATTTAGATTTCATCCATATTAAATATGTTATAAATAAAAACTCATCTTCATCGTCTAACACTGCTTCTTCATCTCATTGACCTACTCAAATTAAGTGTAAATTCACTTCATTTAAGATATTTCTACTCATTTCTAGATCATTTTTCCAGCGTATTAAGAAGTAAAATAACCATTAACATAAATATATTAATCGGGTTTCCTTTTATAATCCTAGTTACCTTTTTAGAGTTTGTAAATGTTTAATATTTATGTTCAATCATATGGGAAGCAACAAATATTTAGCGAACTTTAGACTTTTGGCTCAACTTGGTTTTCAGGAGTTTATTTTTATTAAAAGTTTTAGATTTTGAAAAAAGGTTTTTAAAAAGTGAGTCAGGAAATTGTCTATATACTTAACTTAAAAATTGTTGTTCTCCACTTCTTGAAAAGGAAAAATTATCGATTTTTTATATTTTCTATTTTAAAAATTCAACGTATTACATGAATTTATAAACAACAAATTTTATTTTAGTGTTAAATTCTGTTTAAAGTAACAGATTAGTATTATAAATGTCTACGGACCTTTACTGATGATTCGGACTAGAAACTCCCGCAGCAGTGTGTCGCAGTTAGCTTGTTGCAGGTATGGCGCAGATATTTTGGATTTATGTCCAATTTTGAAGCTTGGCTGCGCAATGTTATTCCATGCCACAACGCAAGAGGGACAATCACGAAGTAGTTAGGACGTGGGTGTCCATGTGTGCTCGCTTTCCACTAGAGACTGACATTTTTTCGGGAATCCCACGGGTCACGGGATTCCCGTGGGATGGGAGCCAGTATTAGTAACGATCACGTGATTGGGACAGTACAGGATTAAACATTAACGGGAGCAGACGGGAGCGGGAGCAAACCAATAGTAACTAAAAAATACTAGGATCGATGCCAAAAAAAAAAATAAAATAGAAAGAAAAAAAATCCAGTACTGGCGCCGCCATTTTGTAGTTTTTTTCCTTAAAGCCTACACTATAATGCGAGTCAAAAAAAACTACACGACCCAAAAACCAACAGTGCTTCTGCTCTGAGTTTCACCCGCGCTCAAAAAAAAAACAAGAACAGGATTGGTGCAGGAGCGGGAGTCATTCTGAATGGGAGCGGGATGGGAGTAATTTCACCAGGAGTGGGACGGAACAGGATTTAGATTTCTATTCTGGCCCGGGATCGGGACGGGACAGGAGTGAAAATCCACTCCCGTGTCAGTCTCTAATTCGGACACGGCTGATTTTTAATTGCTTACCCCTGCTTTAAGGTGTTAAAACAAAAATGAGGATAAGAAATGGCTGTTAAACTGAGACAAAGATGTTAACCTCTTACACCCTCAGGGGGTATAAATAAATTTCTGCCTGACAAAACACACAAAAGTAAATAACTTATAGCCTCACAGCTATTAGATTTAAGAAGAAACTTTTGGCACGTCTGTAAAGGTAAGATGTCATAGAATGGTTTTCTGGTGTCAGCACCATTGTAGCTTTGACCCTGCCTGAAATATTAGGGACAAAATACAAAATATTTTCGCCAAAATTTTCTTTGAAATAAACATTGCAAAACACTACCAAAATATTATTTATTGCACAAAAAAGTAGTACAGACTTTTAAATCTAAATGTTGTGTAAAAATATACCAAATTTGGACTCAATCAGATGAATCATATTTATTTTAGAATGGTATTAGTGAGAAATTTCTTAGGCGGAGAGGCCATTTTGGCACATTTATCCAAAAATGTCACCAAACTGTGCCAAATGTGTTTTTTACATCAATACTGGGGCTTTGGTAAAATTACGAGGTCATGTAGCAGCTGGACCCGCCGGTGGGTGCGTAGGGTTCTAGGGGTTAAGAACCCATGAAATCCTGCAGATGATCACCTGAGGAGGAGCAAGCTGATTCAGTTTGAATCAAAAACCCAAAAGATAAATAAAAAATGGTCCAAAGATGGGAGAGTTGGTCCAGAACCAACCAGGACTCCCTATTGATTGGTTCTCAGACACCTTTAGGAGAACGCTGATCAGGAACGCCGATGGTTTCTCAGAGTGAGACGACATTTTGAAGCCTTAACTAGTTGCCAGCTGGTTAGAGGAGTCCTCCTGGTTCTGATTGTTCATTGGCTCTTCTTTCTGGCCCATTGTAACTGTGAGTCATTGGAGCTCATGAGAGCCTGGAGACAGCGTCCTTCCAGGAATCATCCACTCATCCAGTGTCTCCAATGCGGCCATCGTTATGCACTCTAGACGTTTGTTCCTTGCCTTGAGATCACTCTCCTCCATCCTTCTCCTGTTCCGTCTCTGTGAGTCAGGTCCAATCGGGCCAGTTCCCTTCCTGCGTCCTTCAGCTCCGTTGAATCTCCAGCTCGATCTTCAGCTGATGGGTCTAGAGTAGCTCTTATAGTTGATGCATGCCTCATCCTTTCATCTGAGCTTTCTTGCTCCGGCCAAAATGTGAAAGAACTGTTCTGATTGAGTTCCAGCCATCCTTAGTTTGCACCAGTTTGACGGCTCTTCTCTACCGGCTCACTAAGGCCTCATCTTTAGCAGCTTTTCCTCTCCTGCTCTGCTATGTTCTGCTGTGGGGAACAGCACTTCAGCTTTTTGGGACCAATAAGGCCTCCTGGTTCTGCTCCTAATGACCCAGAGACGCTTTGTATGTACAGCAGCTGTTTGGAAACATTACCGTTACCTTCACAGCTGCTGCTGTAAAAGAGAAAAACCTGCAACTCTATTGCTTTTTTCTCCTTTGTTTCGTCTGCATCCTCTTTAGTTGACTTCTCTCTAATTCCTAAAAGGAACCAAGGGGCAAACGGAAGAGGAGAACACAACACGAAAAGATCAATACCAGAGAAACTCTCTGAGGAAATTTAGCAGAAAACACAAAATAAAAAATGAAGCTTTGAGAAATAAGGCTTGTTTGCTGGATTAGAAAACAACACGGCTCCTTTTCTAAATCCACTCTCTGAACAGAAGTTAATCTGTTATCATCTGTCATGATAAACAAGAGAATTGTTGTGAATGTCAATGTTATTTTTCTGAAAAATGATGACTTTGACCTAAAGTTTTCCTCCAGCTGATGAAACGCTGCCGAGGAAAACGCTTAGATGCGTTTGGTTTTAGAAACCTGAACCTGTGAAAATGGAAATCTGACCCATCTGTCACTAAAAGGACTTCATGCATCAACCAAGAATCAGGAAGCCATAAAAAGTTTCTAATTTAATTCAATTCAGTTTATTTCTATTTCTATATCTTCTCAAGGCACTTTACAGTTCAACCAGATCATCCAGTCAGATTGATTCAAAGTTTTCTATCTAAGGTAAACCAGTTCATTGCATCGACTCATTGACTTGAAGGCAATCTCTCACAATAAGCATGCTTGTAGCATAGAGATAGAATGAAGCAGAATGATGAAATAGGGGTCCCTATGTCCTCCAGCAGTCTAAGCCTATAGCAGCATAACTATAGAGATAGCTCAGGATAACCTGAGCCACTCTAACTATAAGCTTTATCAAAAAGGAAAGTTTTAAGCCTAGCCTTAAAAGTAGACAGGGTGTCTGCCTCACGGACTAAAACTAACAATGATAAACATCAAGATTAAACTGTAAAATGAAAGAAATTAAGATATAATCATACTGTAGATGATCAGGTAATGCATCTATGCTGATGATAGTCAGGTCTATTTCTGATAATGAAGCCTAAATGGGCAAACATCCCTCTAATTTCCCCAAATTGTGATATTTTATTTGAAAAAAGAATCCACCCAGTTTGATTCCTTTTAACTGGAGAACTGAGCTTTGTTTTTAAAATCACATTTTCTTTTGAGATAAATAAACATACTTACACCTTTATTCTTCC